TAAAAGAGCACAGATTGTCATGATTTCAGCTCCCTGCCTCCTCTGCTCTTTGCCACCTGCAAGCGCTCTTGGCCACGCCCACTTCTCCACTCTGCACGAAGAACAGCTGATCAGCTGCAGCAGGAAGTTTATCCTGCAGTATGGGCTACACAAATGTGCAGCAGGTGCTAAATGATTTAAAATAATTTATTTTAAATAAAAATCCCATGCCGATCGTGTGGCTCATCCGTCCATCAGCCAATTTTGTGGCATGTCCAATCTTATTTTGACAAACGGCGATACAGCGAGTCCGCGATAAACGGACCGCGAAGGACTGTACTAATATTAATCGAAGGAGGGCAGGAGTTTGCAGATTTTCTGTTTCTACTTTTATTTTAGATAGATTTTAGGCACTTATATCCAAGCATAGAGATATGTACGGCATCAGAAAAGACAAAGTAAAACATATTAGCTAACCTGCTCTTGGTGACATCTTCAGATGCAGATTAAGAAAGCTTCTCATTACAGGTAGTAGGTCATTAGCAATAACAATAGTATGTTTAATTAACTCAATTAATCCTAAAACATATAGGTTAGGTTTCTGAGTACTGACATGAGTGGACAGCTACAGAAGCAGTTTGGCAGCTAGTATACAAAGCAACATGAGCTGATGAAATCCCAGTGAAATATTTCTCCCCTGCTGGTTTTAGATCTCACGTTACAAAACATGAGAAAAATTGTTTTGTTGGTCAGAAACTCCTTCAGCTCTACTACAATAACAACCAGTTCACAAGATCACAGTTGCTATCCTTTTACAGAAAGACTAATAATGCTAGAGGAAGGTTTCTATAAACAATGTAATTTGTTTTACTTGGTGAAGAATTTACAGAATCAGTAATATTTTCCTTACAAGATTGATATCTATCCATCTGCCATAAAAGAACAGCTTCCTTTAGTGCTAATATATCTTCAAAATAAAAAAAGTGTAGGCAATATGACATTTTAGTCTCATAAGGTAATGTAAACATTTTTGTCTACAACTACAGTGATGTCAATTATGACAAAACAGGAAATAAACCAAAACACACCATAAAAAGTTTTGCAATTCAGGCAAACAATGAAGGCACTGTGGACAACTGGACTTGGACCAAAACGTCTGGGCCCCAGAGAGCCAGGAAGGAGGTTTATCAGGTGTTTTATCCATTATAAGAGCTGAAACTCTGGAGAGGCAAACGCAGATCGGTTGGTATTCCCATCAGGAGTGGTGAACAGGGGGAGAGAGAAAGTCCAGCGCAGCTGACGCTATTTTGGATTCCAGATTAGAGTCAAACGTATACAACTGAACAGCGCCAAAGTTACAACAACCAGAATCGTTAGCAGGATGTTTGTAGTTTCACACACTGCACAGTTGCTGACCACACAGGAAACTGAGAAATCTCTCATTAAATGCCCTCTAGCCTATACAATACACAACAAATTGGAAGCTTTTAACATCAACTTTAACTTTAGTTTAAAGTTAAACATGATGTTAAAAAGTATGAACAGAAAGGGTTGGGAAATGTTTGCGTTATTACGTTTCATCATATACTGTTTTAAAGGTTGAAAGTTTTGTTCCGTTCATGATTACCGAATATAAAGTACCACAGAAACTCAACTGGAATCGATCTGTGTTTCGTATCTGCATGTTATTAATAGAGTGCAATTAGAAACAGATGTGAAGTGATGGGAATGCTACGAGCAGATAATGGTGGTCCAGGTGCATTTGTCAAAAAGGAGTTCACACACACTCAAAATGTTTCTCCTCCCTCTGTCAATAAATCCATCTTGACCATGATCAACTCAAATACTTGATTCGTTCCCATAACCCCCAACGTCACCGACCACTGTCCATTATCCTGCAGACCAATAAAGAGCAGGTCACTCTTGGCCACTGCTCATTCAGATTTCCTTGAGCCCAACCCCCTACTTCTAGGACAGAAGAGGCTGACCATAGCCTATTGTGGATCCATTGTAATGGTCTAACGAGTGGGACTCGACCTGTGTGGCCACCTTTCAGTGATTGATGCTGACCTGACCCCAGCAGTGGCCAGTCCTGGAGAAGTTGGACCTACAGTTAGCTTTAGTTTATCTTTTTGTTTCGCTTTCCTGAAAAACATGTTTATTGTATCTTACAGATAAAATATTTTGTGATAGTTTATTTTTAATTGCATGCATTTCATCTATATTCTTCCCACTTATTGGTATTTTTTTTAACATTTGTATTTTTCCACTGTTTGTAAAGTCTCCATGTAATTGACTTTCCTTTCTTGTCTCCTGTGGATCTCTTTCATGATTTATCTGGGTCAGTTTTATCTCATTCACATGTATGGTTTATACGTATTAAAAGCTTTATTTCCTCCATCTTCAGTTGTCTTCCATCTATTTTTCCCAAACTTGAGTCATTCAGTTGATTACCTCCATGTTTCCCAGTAATTCAATTAGTTCCTATGAATCTTTTACCTTTTGGTTTCTTAATATCTATTGGAAGGTATACAACCAGCATGCACAAGGATGGGTATATGGTTTGATGTGGGTGGGTAAAAAAACAAAACAACAACACTAGAATTAAATGTGTATGGGTACAATGGACTTCCTTCACATGTAATCAAAATACACTGCCTGGCCCAAAATAAAGTTGCCACAAAAAAAAAAGGTTGCAGACTAATATTTTGTTGGACTGACTTTAGCTTTGATTACAGCATGCATTCACTGTGGCATTGTTTTGATAAGCTTCTGCTATGTCACAAGATCTATTTCCATCCAGTGTTGTATTCATTTTTCACCAAGATCTTGCATTGATGACTAGGTGCTAGGCATGATGGGTGCATCACTTCACCTGCCTCTTCTTACCCTGCCCATCACTCTGGAACAGGATCAATCTGATTGCTCCAGAGTCCAATCTTTATGCTCCCTAGCAAATTGAAGCCTCTTATTCCAGTTAGCCTCAGCGATTAGTGGTTTTCTTAAGGCTACACAGCTGTTCAGTTCCAATTCCTTGAGTTCCCTTCACATTGTGCGTGTGGAAACGCTCTTACTTTCACTATTAAACATAGCCCTGAGTGCTACTGTTGTTTTTCTTTGATTTGATTTCACCAAACTTTTAAGTGATCTCCGATCACGATCATTCAGGATTTTTTTCCAGCCACGTTTCTTCCTTGAAGACAATGGGTCCCCAATATCCTTCCAGTTTTTAATAATGCGTAGGACAGTTCTTAACCCAATTTTAGTAGTTTCTGCAATCTCCTTAGATGTTTTCTCTGCTTGAAGCATGACAATGATTTGACCCTTCTCAAACAGACCGACATCTTTTCCACGACCACGCGATGTGTCTTTCAATATGGTCGTTTAAGAAACGAGAAGCAACTCATTCAGTAATTATCCCATAGGAGACTCGTACCTATTTGCTTAGTTAATTCCAGGTGGTGACTTTTTTTTTTTTTTGGC